GCTGTTATACAATTTTTGGAATGTGCTGCTAACCAGTAGCTCTCCAACCCATCCTAATAGCCTCATGGGTCCTCCAGGCCCAGTGCTATATAGGAAAAGTGAACAGTTTATTACCTGCATCTGCACAAAATCTTTCAAACTGAACAAGTAAATGGTGCTCTTCATTGTGCTTTACCCTTCTTTCATTTGGTGAATTCAGAATTTGTCAGAAAAGTGTCCATCCATACAAGATACTTTTTCCATCTCGACAGTGTGAGTTAAGTGGAACCCTAACATCTAAACAGTACACAAATGTTATGTGTGCAGCAGAGGATGAGAGAAACAAGAGTCAGCTTATTTTAAAATTAACTTAAGAAATAATAAAACATAGTTGAAAGTGGTATGGTTCCTTCTTCTAACACTGAGACCTCATTCAGCTTAATGACAAATCATCTCCTCTGCGATGAAGTAGTAACAAACTTTAGTTGGAACACACCTTTTACCTTTCAACCTAGGCCCAATACTGCAAAAGTTTTGACCTCTAAACTGAAGCCAGCTGATTTTCTTTGGCATACAGCAGTAACATATGATACCTGATCACATTCTGCAGCATAAAAGGCATTTTCAGTGATCTGTAATGAGTTGTGTAGAAAGCACATTTCCAGGTGTTTTACCACAGAACACTGGGAGAAACTAGAGCACATTCCATATTGGGAAAGTTAGGCACCTACCCTGCGGTCGCTACTCACGCAAAACCACTAGTACACGGCCCGAACTTGGCAAGACTCTCAGCGACACATGCTTATGCTTTTGGCAGAAGGGAGCTGACCACTTTCAGCATCAGTGTCCTTTGCCAGCTGGCCAAAGAGCACACAGATGCAAGGGAAGCAAATTATCTGCCCACTGGCAAAAAGAAATGCTGAACAGCACCTAAAGAAAAAGTGTGTGTGCGCATAGGAGCACGTGTGCGAGTGAGGATGCATGTGAGGGTGTATATACACACACACCTGTGCTTTGGGAAAGGGAGTAACACAGTTAAACTGGAAAAACTGTCTGCTACTTGCCCTGTGGTATCATTTTCTGCAACATTCACACAACAATGAACAGGCACTTTTTGCATTAAAATCTTCCAAGTGGAATTGTAAAGATGAAACACAAGGACTGCAAGGATGCTAAAGCAAATTTTTCTAAGTCTGAAATCAGACTCCTTCAGGAAAGTGCCCATAAAACCACTTACAGGATTTTAGTAACTTTAGGTTAGCATGCCTCTGCATCTTCCCTCTTTTTTTTTCTCTTGAAGAATGAGTGCTTGTGAAAAAAACAACAAACCAACCCACTACACATCAACATTTGGCAAAATACAAAAAGCCTTCTGGTTTCAGAAGATATGTAAGACAAAACTCAGAAAAATTAATGGGACAAGAATTTCCAGCTGATAGGTAGGTTTAGCTGAGAGAGGGAATCTGCCTGTAGATTAATTAGATTCTGCAATCACAGCCCCTTTTCATCCGCACACATCCCACCACTATCATTACATGATCAACAGATTTTAATGAAAACTAATGCTTTCTTTTGAGAAATTCCATGGAGACTATGTATAAGGTTGAGTTTACTTTTCTAAATATTTCTTGAAAATTGTATGTAACGCAAGTGCACATTTGTTGGCTGTAAAGGTGTACAACAGCAATTTTTTGCAATGACAGTGCAGAGAGGGAATATGAGATCTGTGTGCTAATGAGCTGACACTGCAGAGGCTGGAGCAGTGTTAGTATAGTGCACTACAAGTGCAGAGCAGAACGACATACGCGGGTTATTTCTAGGGAATATGATCTACAGAACTATATGCACAATTCAACATTATTACTGACATCCTTCATCAGAGGTTCTAAGAAAAGCATGAAAGATGTTGATTCAGTGATGAATTTATATATTTGAGTTGTTAGATCCATATTGTTCTGAAAAAGGTATCTCACTCCCCACATGAGCATTTTTAAAGAAAATATAACATGATTTTGATTTTATACCTTCACAGGTCAAGTTAACTTTCTTCCTTTCTGTTTTTTCTGATAGCAAAAAGCTGCATATTTTAAAAGATGTAATGATTTCCCTAGAGCCCACTGTTAAACTTCAATTCACCTTTAAATACATGGGAATTTTCATCTGTGTTTGCATTTGCTTTCTGTTAAGATATCATACAGCTAAATAAATAAGTGGGCAGATAAATACAGAGTGGATGAATACTGTATGAATGTGCGTAAATTAAATATACAGACAGGGGCTCGGTGCTAGCAGTGAAGCAGGGAATACATGTACATAAATCAGATTATGCATCATTTCACTGAAAAAGGAATGAGAGGGAGGGGCTTAGGGCAGGAATTTTCTTTTGCTTCTAAACAAGTTTGTTCCCATGTTGGGATATTGCCAAATCATCCCTACCAGCGGTGGGCTTTTTTTCTCTGGCTCATGTGAATACTTCAGAAGAGATTTTTCTTGCCTCTGGAATGCACCAGATTGCATCAAGCAGGATGTGCAGCTGTACGGTAAGAACGTAAGTCTTTCCTGAGCAGAGCCCCCCTCAATTCCTGCACACATGAACACTTACTACAGTCACTATCATATAAATCAAAGCAAAGGAGAATGAAAAGTATTATTTTACGGATACTGACTTGTACAGCCACTAGGCTCAAGCTACACATGCTACTTTCTCCAATTTCGCTTCAGTTCCTGTATCTATCCCACCACAAAGTCAGCTCCAGACTCCCTCTCCAGTGAAGGCAGGCAGAGTGACTGCAGGTTTCTCTCCTATGGATCCTTGCCAATTGAAAATATTGATCAAATGGCTGTGTGACAGCACTGGAGACAATATATGCTTATCTCAAGCAAAGTAAAAATGTGGAAAGAATTCCTTCATGCATATGGCAGCACCCTGAAACCATCTGCCACTCCACTAGGAAGTGAGGATGTGATTAAAGGTACTTTAGGCTGGAATGTTAGCCAGGTAGTGTGAGGAGCTATTAATTCATCCTAACACAGTGATACAAATGAGTGTTCTGACTTTCAAAGATAGTTGCTTTCAGATTCAATACAGCAACTGTTCTGCTATTTTTTGTTATATTTTGAGCTACTGAAACCTATGACTGGTGACTTGGGCTCACTGTATTCTTTTCCTATCAACAGTATTATGAGATGGTTGACATATCTATGGACAAGGTCACCTTTTCATTTTCTTTCTTCAGATTCTTTTTTCCCATCTTCTGCTTTCAAATAGGTTATTGTAGGTTTGTATTCTCTGGTCTACAGTTTCTCCAGAGAGTTAAGTTTTCCCAATTTTACTACACTGGTAATATGGCTGTTGGAATGTGCAGACCTATACTACAGAAAACCATCTCACCTTACTAAAACTGCCACAGATTTTAGTAAGCAATGACAAAAATCATTAGCTGTCAGAAGATGAGTAGCACGCTGACTAAATACACTGAATGCCCCCAAACAAGCATGTGCTTCACTTGTCTTGGTGGGATCTGTGGTGGGAAGTGCTGGTAGGACTTTTGAAAAACAGTTAATAATTAATCACCCAAGTAGTTCAATGTATTTAGTTTAAATCCATATAATTGATATTTAGGAAACTGAGATACAGCCTCTTGAAGGGATTACACTGATTAAGGATTAATAGTCTGATGTTTGTTGTAAGAGCTGTTGAGGCTGGATGGGATTAGTAAATTAAGATGCAAAGTAGAGACAGGCTTTTATTTACCTTTTTTTCCCCATACTTTACTAAGTATTTTATTGAATATTACACAATTAACCCCCCTGCAAAAGTTTGAAAGGCCCTAATTCAAAGCCCTTTGAAAAGTGTAATGCTGCACTAGCAAGAAACAGTCACATGGGGGATATGTTAGAATATCAATCCAATATTTGTCCAAACATTCCCTTACTGTATATTTTCTAAGCATCAACTTTCTCAGAATATACAGTGGGCCAGGAATATAAGAACTATCCTATCCCCAACAAATAAAAAAAGAAAGAAAGAAGATATTCAAAACACAAAATTGTTCTAAAGCAAAAGATACTAGTTTTCTCTAATCCAGTACTTCATTTTAAGTTCAGTGCTTCCTCTTTGAACATTGTGTACTGTGAGAGGAAACCTGTTCATAACACAAAGTTAGTACATTGCATTCAGATCATGTACAGACATCTATCTGTACATTGCAAAGTGCATGCAACTACCTTGCAAGAGGAGTCCTTTCATTTTCAAAGGCTTACAATAGAAATTGTACACAACTGAATTTGGACTCATCAGAAAAAACAAATATTCAGGAACTACCAGTGGTAAAGGAATGCTTTTTTAAAATGCAGAACATGCACCAGTCTTTCAGAAAGAGATTTCGCATTTTAACACCACATTAGCACTACTCAAAGTTCTATTTTGCATCTTTGGTTAATAAAAAGCTCAAATTGTATGTATGCACTGCTTGTGCCGGCATAACCAAGTGCCCTGATTCCATTTTCCCTCCCCTCAGCTCTAACAGTATTTGTCAGTTTACAGTCTCCTCAGCTTTTCACGGAACTTCCACTGTAAGAAAACAACTCAATTATTTCAGGGCAGAGGAGGCAAGTAAACCCCTCTAGCTTTGTCCCCTCAAGGTCCCTTC